GAGAGAGAGAGTGTAGGGGCGGGGAAAGAAGAGAAAGGGAGATAGAGAGACAGGGAAAAAGAGAGAGAGAGGAGAGAGTGAGTGAAGAGAGAAGATAGAGAAAGTGAAGGAATGGGAGATAAGAGGAGAGAGAGAGGAGAGAGATGAGCAAGAGAAATGAGAGACAAAAGGAGAGAAAGAGAAGAGATAGAGAGACAGGGAAGAGAGAGAGAGAGAGAGAGAGAGGCGGGAGAGATGGAGATAGATGGAGAGATCGAGAGCGAGAGAGAGAGTAAGGCGGAAGACAGGAGGTCGTGCAGAGAGAGAGAAGAGAAAGAAGAGAAAGCGGTAGATAGAGCCGACGTAGAGAGAGAGAGAGATCAAAGACTAGGAAGAGCAGAGAGATGAGGAGTGAGAGAGAGAGAGAAGAGATAGAGAGAGATATGAAGAGAGAAAGAAAGAGAGGATAGAGAGACAGGAAGAAAGAGATAGAGAGATAGAGAGACAGGAGAGAGAAGAGAGAAAGATAAGCAGATGAGAGAAAGAGAAAGAGACGATCAATCGAAATTGTATATCCCTCCCTCGCGATTTTTGTAACGGTTTGTTGATTGCAACTTCATTTTGTGGACAAAAAATGTCGTTGGCGGCCTACTTCCACATAGACTCGCGCTCGGCTCGCTTGTTGCCAGGCGAACTGGTTCGTCTGACACACGATCCAGGCTGAGAGGAAAGATAAATAAACATTATTAGCTAACTGCATCCGCAACCGTTACGGCTAGTCAGAGACTCAGACTCACCGGCACGTGCATGTCCTCTCGGTCGACGGTATGCAGCGAGGAAAAGTCTCATTAATAATTACATTGATTCGGAAAAGTCCCACGCCCGCCAATATTGCATGTAGATTAAGAGGGGTGATAAGTTGTGCCTATTATACTAACCATACGTACGAGAGATCTAGTCCTAGGTTGTACGCATCTATAATTTCTCTTCACATCGTACTTCATTCACATGCGTGCCGTTTTTGCTTTACAGAAACATTTTAACAAATATGATTTGTAGTCATTTGGAGATAATTTTTTGCAATGTTTCTGTTGGGTTTAATTGCAAAAAACTAACAACGCCACGCGTGTTTACATGTTAATCATGTACTTTCCTAGCGCGCCAAAGCCATTGTTACCCCTTTTTCTATGACCTAAATAAACAACGGGACTAAATCGGAACGGGGTTAAAGGACAAAGGACGAGCAGACGGAACACGCGACGGCAACGACGCGACGCACCTACCGGAGTGTATTCCGATGCGGAGCTTGAGTTCTGGTTTCCGGTCGATCTCCGGATGCGAAGTCTCTGGATGCGTGAGCAGGAGGCCCAGGCTCATGCGCGCGATCTCGCGCTCGCGTGACTTGGCCCGTTCTTCACCGGCAAGACCCGAGACGATCTGTACGCGTCCGACTATCGTCTCCACCTGGGGCGGTGGCAGTAGTTGACGGTGACGATATACGACAATACGACGATAGCCAGTAGGACTAATCATCGACACACACGTATTAACACACGCAGAAACACAAACGCACGCACGACATACACGCACGTCATACCGCGGGACACGCAGCGACGCGCCACACGTCAGCACACGCACACACACACACACACGCACACACACTACACACACACACAACACACACACACACACACACACACACACACACTGCGCGCGCGCGGCACACTTATTGCACACGTACACACACATTCATCGCGACACGCGATTCGCACAATGCCGCACCACACGCACTCAGAAACACGCTTGTTTGTTACGGTCCGACGAATTAGTGGATTAACAACATAATCCGTTATCTGCCTCCTCCGTTCATTCCCCATTGACATCCACCACGCACATCACGCAGTCACTGCCTTCGATACCACACACTGCAACGCACGCCGCATCACGCACGCAACGCCGACACACGGCACGACAACACACGCACACACACACGCACGCACACACACACTACCCGCACACACACACACACACACACACACAACACACACACACAACACACACACACGCACGCCGCACGCACAACACACCCGCCACACACACCACAACACAAACACACACACACACGCACGCACGGCACGCACGCAACGCACGCCATGCAGCACGCACGCCCACACACACCACTACGCACACACGCACACACACACACAGTCAGGAAAAATTAGACTAAATCAGCAAAGTACCCGTCCAACAGGCAGGATGTTGGTGCTGATGTAATGGATCTGAGGCGGCAGTTTGGGAGGGGCAAATTCGGAGGAAAGTGGAAACCTTCCTTTGTCAGGCGTGCCTGTTCAGCGACAGGATGTGTAACAGTCGAGCAGGCGTGATATTTAGCCGTAAATTGGTAAAAGCCATGCACCTACACGCCGCTGTATGAGCGCGGTTGTGGAGTGAACACGTACGATATGTCTGTTCCTCGTGCCGTGAGTCACGCGCTACGTTGCGTCGCGTTCGCCTCGCTCAAGCGCATCTCCCGAGTATTCGCTGCCGAGATGGCTTACGGCATATTATTTATTCCAATTCTTTTTTATTTCAAATTCATTTCATTCAAATTCATTTTCATTCAATTCATTTTTATTTTCATTCAAATTCATTCTTCATTTCAATTCATTTTCATTTTCATTTCAAATTCATTTTCATTTTCATTCCAAATCACTTTTCATGTCAAATTCATTTTTCATTTCAAATCATTTTCATTTCATTTTCATTTTTATTTTCATGTTAAATTCATTTCATTTCATTTTCATTTTTATTTCCATTTCAAATCATGTTTCAGTTTCATTTGTCATTTCAATCATTTCGTATTCATTTTCATCTCCAAAATTCATTTGCGATGCATATACGCAGTGGCCTGAGATGGCCATTACGGATATTGGTGGCGGCAGCAGGCGTGTAACGTTCACTTCCCTTTAGTGGAAGTCACAATCAAGAGAACAAACACCAGTTGTTTGGTTTATGATCGTAGATAAGTAAGTTTTATCTGATGTATATTCGATGCAAAACACACATTTTACTCATTAAAGTAACATATAATATCACCTATAATTGCATTGCTTTGGTGTAAATTGTTATTTCATTTATCTTATTTAAAGGTTAATTAGAGGGTTCTCGGCTCTCGTAATACGACATACGTACGTACGTACGTACAGTACAATGCCACTTGGCCGTACTGGTACTATAGCCTTCGCCCGCCGTCGCAGGAGCGTGTGAGGGTGTGTGTGCGTGCGCCTTTGACTGTCGTGGGCGCGCCGTGATGCATATGACCGTGTGCGTGCATCGACAATACCGGTGCGTGCGCGCGCTGCGCGCGTGTGTTGTTGTGTGTGCTGATGTGTGTGTGTAGCCACCGCGGATCGTTAGTGCGTCGATGTCAGCGAGTGGCGAGTCAGCAGCGCACAGTGAGCGCGCGAGTCAGCAGCAGATGCGAGTCAGTCCAGCAGGCCCGCCACCAGCGAGCACATACATGCTTAGATGCATCAGCGGAGGTAATGCAACTCTTCCGTGAGGTTATGCCTACTGTCTAGTTATTTATGTTATTGCTCCCCAAGTTACACGGAGCTGACCGGTATAATAGACGCTGCTGATTCCATTGTATTGCCTACATAGAAATAATATCTATCTGTTCTATATATATATGCGGTGTGTTATGTGTGCAGTGGTGCGTTGTGGTGTGCGTGTGCGTGTGCGTGGTGCCGTGTGCTGTCGTGCGTGTGCGTGTGCGTGTGTACGCGGCTGGTAACGTGTGCGTATGTGCGCGGGCGACAATGTGCGTGTGCGCTGTGCGTTGTGCGTGCTGCGTGTGCGTGTGACGTCGTTAGTGCGTTGTGGTGTGCGTGTGCGGTGCCTGTGCTGTGCGCGCGCGCGCGCGCGTGTTCTGTGTCGTGTGTGTGTGTGGATGCATCTTGTGGATGTCGTGTGTCGTACATGTTAGTAATTTTTTATTGCTCCGCCGGTTTATTCGAAGCGACGCCAATCACGTTAACAATAGGCGCACGAGACGTGATACGTGTCCGGTGTATAATCACTGTCGCAACCATATAGGTGAAGGTACGCTAGGGCAGTGCTTCTTAACTCTCGAGGTTTGCCAGTGAATGGTTTACACCCAAGGATAAATTTGAAATATATTTTGGGTGAATAAAAACTAGGACCCAAAACGCAAGGAAATTTAGCTCGCCGGTCCATGAATGAAATATTTGTGATAATAATTTTGCGGGTAGCTGTGAGGGATAAGGCGGTGAGGAAGCGTGGAGGGGAGAAGCGGGAGGCGAGGAGGGGAGAAGAAGGGGAAGGGAAGGGAGGGGAGGGAAGGGGAGGGAGATTGGAGGACTGATGGAAGGGAGGGGAGGGGCTGGAGAAGAGAGGGGATTAAAGGAGACAAGAGGGGAGGGTAGGGGAGGGGAGGGAGATTGGAGGGTAGAGAATGAGAGTGGATGTAAGGGGAGGGTTGGGGGAGGCCGAATGTCACCTTGTATACGTCGTAGTGGTCGATGATGCCGTCGAAGCACGTGTAGAGGTCGTTCAGCAGATTGACGACCTAGATAGAGAGCAGGTGCGTGAGAGGGAGTGACTGATGAGAGATGGAGAAAGCTGATAATAGAGAGAAAGAAAGCAATCGAGAGAGAGAGAGAGAGAGAGAGAGAGAGGGACAGAGAAATAGCTGATAGGAGCGAGAAAGAGAGCTGGATAGAGCGGGGAAGACAAGGAAACATGATGTATGCGCGCGCGGCGAGAAAGAGAAAGAGAGAGAGAGACAGACAGACAGAGAGATGGTGTAAGATAGAGATATGGATATAACGAGAGGGTGAAGTGATTAGTGCTGGACACTGCTTGTGAGTGCAATACCTTATATAGGAAGTAAACGAAGTTTAGGAAACAAGGTGAATAGTTTTCCGCATTATTGACAGACTAAACGAATGTGACATAACCTGTAATGCTGACACTAATGCTAGAACCGCAATTTTAGCGCGCACCCTAACACTAACCACACAGCTACTGGAACCCTGATGCCGAGTACTGATCAAACAAAGCTAAAACTAGCTATAGCTCCGTACGCTTACCCTGCTACTGATAACAAGGATATAACAGGATATAACTATAAGGGCAACCTCACGTATACTGACCACATTGCTGCAACTGTAACTGTAACTATTATCCTACGCTGTAATTATAACTGTAACTGTTATCCTATGCTACAGTTGTAGCTGTAACTGTTATGCTAGGCTATAGCTAAAACTTTAACTGTTAATCTAGGCTATAGCTACAACTTTAACTGTTAATCTAGGCTATAGCTAAAACTTTAACTGTTATTCCAAGCTACAATTGTAGCTGTAATTGTTATCCTATGCGATAGCTAAAACTTGAACTGTTATTCTAGGCTATACATGTGGCTCTAACTGTTATCATAGGCTACAATAGTATCTGTAACTGTTACCTTATAGGCTATAATAAAGCTGTACCTGTTGTCCTAGGCTATAACCAAAACTGTAACTGTTATTCTAGGCTATTTACGTAACAGTTGTTGATCTACAACTGCATCTGTATAGTCGTCATCCATCACTGTAATTGCAGCTATACGACTGTGGCCGGCCGCACACACGCGTGTTTTTGTCTTTTTGATAATATATTAAAATAATATAAATTTTAATATAAATAAATTTTTTTTAATTTAAAAAACAAAATTTAAAAAATCAAATTTAAAAAAAAACAGTTCAATTTGCATTCACTCTCTATCCCGCTTACTATTAACCGTAAGACGAACGACCCGTAGGACGAACGACCCGTAGGACCAACGACCCATAGGACCAACGACCCGTATGACCAATGACCCGTAGGACTATAGAACGGTACCCCCGCGTACACGCACCTGCATCGGTGTGCTAGCGGCAGACATTGACGTGAAGCCGACGATGTCTGAGAAGTAGATGGTTGTGCTGTCGAACGACTCCGCTTCTACGCACTTACCCTGCTTCAGCTGCTCGGCTACACTCCTGCAGGCGTAATATCCAGGTATATTACCGCGCGAAATGTAGATTGGAAGAGGGAGGAAGAGGGAGAGAGTGAGAGAGGCTACACTCATGCACACGTATTATCGCGTCAAATATAGATCGAGGTTGGGAGAGGGAGAGAGTGAGAGAGGCTACACTCATGCACACGTATTATCGCGTCAAATATAGATCGAGGTTGGGAGAGGGAGAGGGTGAGAGAAGCTACACTCATGCACACGTATTATCGCGTCAAATATAGATCGAGGTTGGGAGAGGGAGAGGGTGAGAGAAGCTACA